TGGCTCACTGCAACCTCTGCCTGCCAGGTTCAAGCAATTCTCTGCCTCATTCTCCCGAGTAGCTATGATTACAGATACCCACCACCACACCCAGCTAATTTTTGTATTTTTAACAGAGACAGGGTTTCACCGTGTTAGCCAGGCTGATTTGAACTGCTGACCTCGTGATCCACCTGCCTTGGCCTCCCAAAGTGCTGGGATTACAGCATGAGCCGCTGCACCTAGCCTAAACCATTGTTCTTGACTGGCAGCTGCCTGTACATTTCTGGTCCTGACATTCCAGAAATGCCTTTCTCCCTGGGCTCAGGCAGACCTTCCTGGCTGGGCCATTGCACTGGGCTTTCCCCTGTGGCAGTCAGGAGGGGATTTATAAAAGTACATATTTAGGTTGAACCATATGAAATTGGCAGTCTTAAACCATCTTTAACCTTTAAAAATGGTAATTAGTTTCAATCTAATAGGGCAGCCAGGGGCTTTGCTGTGATCTGGATGTGAAATTCAGTTCCTGATTCCTCCTAGGCCCTGGAAGATAAGATCAGCCATTTGTGGTAGGACCATATAATAAGAATTATTACAGTTCAGTTGTCAAAGTCTTTTTGTGGGTTGTGTCCTATTTACCGTGCAAATTTAGGAAGTTATATTACCTCTCTGGTTTTACCTTCATCAATAAAGTGGGCTGGGGTGAAAGGAAGTACTTTGAAACAATTCTGTACTCTCTCTGTTGTAAGCTTAGGTTCATTTGAACCTAATGGCAAACCTGGAAGTCCACAGGACTGGTAGAGTTGCTCAGAGAGGTTTAGAGACCCGTGCAAGGTCAAGGTCTCAGAATGAGTGAGTAAGGGAGACATCTAGAGCCCAAATCTCCTACCTCCTGCTCCCCACCCTGACACTCCACACCACTAGGTAGAGAGCAAGCCACACAAGGAAGCCCCTTTGGGGACGAGTTCCAGGGCTGTGGCACGTCACCCCTTTGTTTTAGGATGTTGCCCTGTGCATGATACGCCACACAGCAGTGGTTCCAGTGTGTGCTGTGGTAATAGTAATAGCAGCCGTGGTAATAGTAGCCCAGGAGTGAAGAACCTGGGCTCTGCAGTCAGCACTACCAAGTTCATGTCCCGGCTCCATCACTTCTCAGCAAGTTATGGCGTGTGTCTTCTCTGTGCCCAGTCTCCTCCTCTAAATGCAGAGGCTCACAGCCCTACCTATAAGGCTGCAGTAAGGCTGGAGTTCATGTGCATGGAAAGTACTTCAAACTGTGCCTGACACCCAGTAAGAGGTCAGGAAATGTTTGTGCTATTTTATTATTATAATGACTACAGATATTACTGTTTTGTTGAGGAATCAAAATCAGTATTAAGGTACTGCCTAGTTCTTCTAAAAGTCTAGTTTTTAAAATGCTAATCATTTAATTGGAATGTTAGTGTGGGGGAAATTTAAAGTAATCTCCTTGCCCCCCCTTCTGTAGATATGTATGTATGTATGTATTTAACTGAGATAGGGTCTCGCTCTGTTGCACAGGCTGGAGTGCACTGGCACCATCAAAGCTCACTGCAGCTCCAACCTCCTGGGCTCAAGCCGGACTCCCACCTCAGCCTCCTGAGTATCTGGGACTACAGGCGCATGCCACCATGCCTGGCTAATTTTATTTTTTGTAGAGACAAAGTCTCATTATGTTGCCCAGGCTGTTCTTGGACTCCTGGGTTCAAAAGATCCTCCCCGCTCAGCCTCCCAAAGTGCTGGGATTACAGGTGAGAGTCACCATGCCTGGCTTTACTCTCTCCTTTTACTGTGTGGCAGGACTCCTAGCAGCTTGCCTGAGACCTCATAGCCCGGACCATTACTTTATTCCCCCTCTGTGCTACCCCTGGCCCTTCCTTAGATGTGGAGAGGATGTGGAGTTGGGAGTGCCAGCCTAGGATCTTCGGTTGCTCCCTCTTCTCTTACTCCAGAAGACAACATTTATCAGGTCATCCTTGGGTGAAGGCCACTCACAAAAGCCGTGTGAGGCTCCTGGATTGAACCAGCACATGTCTGCATATTTTACATGAAATGTAGAAGGCAAGGCACAGATCCTCCTTGTGTTAATCTCCCCAGGAAGGAGTAGGAAATCCATCTTGGGACAGCAAATCTGTGCTTGGAAACATTTCAATAAGCCAGGCCGGCCAGGGCCGTCTTACTGGGTGTCAGGCACTGTTTGAAGCACTTTCCGTGCACACTAACTCCAGGCTCACTGCAACCTTCCAGGAAGGGCTGTGAGCCTCTGCTTATAAAGGAGGAGACTGGGCGCAGAGGAGTCACATGACATACGTGGCCAAGTCCCACGGCTGTGAATTGATGGGGTCGGGACATGAACTTGGCAGTGCTGACTGCAGAGCCCAGGTTCTTCACTCCTGGGCTACGACTGCCACTGCACTGCTTTTATACACACAACAAGTACGTTTGCCGTGCACCTCCCTTTCTCAGAGCAGAAGCGTGAGGCACGATTGCTAGAACAGCATTAGGATTTTTTGTGATCCCAGCATAACTTCGTAGGAACACATTCGTACGGAGTTGTCACCTCGCAGCATGAGCGTGCCACCACAGGGTCTCAATGCTCCTTTCTGTTCTCTTGCCTGCCCCTCACCCCTGGACACTGTCTTTCAGGGAGCAGAGTCCAGCTGTGCACACAAAACCCCAGCCGCCCACTCTTGGGGTGGCCCAGCCAAAGCTCTCCCTCCCCCTCCCCACCCCCCTCCTCCTCGTCCTTTCTTTTTCAGCCCTCCTGGGCTCCTCGCTTTGCCCCCTTGTATGCCGTGTGGTGATGTCAGTGCATCTCACGGTGGCTTGCTCTGTGGCTGCCATGCCTGGCCTCTGCTGTCATGTCAGGAGGCCTGTGGAAAGGCTGTTGCCTTACACACAGGGAGTGAACAGTGTGCAAATTTTGAATCCCTCTGTTAGCCTCACCTGAGAATCTAGGGGGTGGCTGTTTTGGAAAAATGGATATTGAGTGTGAGCTTGTGATTTGGGGAAGAGATCAGCCTCTCCACGGGAATGGTTTGCAGAAAATTGTTTCACGTAGGTGTGATGTGTTCAGCTCTGCCAGATGTCTCGGGCCATGTGGTGGAAAGGATGGGACGGCACTGAGAGACAATCATTCCTGACGAGAAACGAGGTTCACCACAGATGCGCTCAGAGCCCTGTTCCTACCCCACTTCTAGAGAATTGAATAATGGCACGGTGGGGTTTTTTCTGTGAACTTACAAAGAATGCTTGGTGAGCCTCATGTGCTTTATTCACACAAATCTCCCCGTGTCTGGAGACAGGTAGAAATGGGGGGGCTTCTCTTCCACTAACTTGACCCTTTACTTTTAACGTTATGAGGTTTTTAACTTTGTGGGTTAAGTTCCACCCCACTGACATCAGAAATAGTAGGTTGCGGTCTGCAGCCAGCATGCATAGCAGCATGGCCTCAGAATGTCATAACTGCTTTGTGCTTCAACTTTTCCATCTGCAAAAGGATCTCAGTATCTTTTCCTATATCTTCCTGGGCCGATTTGAAAATGTAGGAAAGACTGTGTGAAAATCGTGTCCTGAGCCCCTTCAGAGAAAGTGATTTTGAAATGTCAGTATTGGCCGCTGTTACCCAGGGCTGTGCTGTCCACATGTGCGCTGTGGAGGCTGGCCAGGCCTCCCTGTCCTGCATTCCCAGCATTTTTACTTTATGAGTAATCCCCACCACTTCCCCGCCGCACGGAAGAATTGAGGTTTTAGCTTTCTGCCCACACAGACGCAGATGTCAGCCATCCATGGTAGCGGAAAAGCAGAGGCATTCTACACTTTCTGCCTTAAACATACACGGCGCCTCACAACGGTCCAGCCCAGGCCCTGGTGCCCAGGGTGGAAGTAACAAAGCACTTCCTACCATCACTTGTAGAGTTATTCAGTCTGAAAGCTAAAAGGACATCGCCAGACCCTGTTGGGAAGCCACCATTTTCACGGAGGAACCTGAGACCCAGAGCAGGAGGCCCTCACCCAGAGTCCCATAGCAGATTATCAGGAAACGCTGGGCAGAACTTGAACCCAGGTCTGCTTATCCACAGGCTCGATTTTTCCTCCCCACTCTGCTTCTGTCGGGTGGATGCGAGGGCAGTGACTACGGGGAGAAGGGACCAGGATCAGGAGGAGGAGATGGTATCAGGCAAGTGAGGAACAAGAGAGGCCTAAAGATGCTCAGCCAGGGCCTCCCCTAACCTGGTCGCCTCACCGACTCTCCAGCTCCCCTAGACTCCTAAGCACCTGGAGGATGTTGGGTGTCACAGGTGCCTGCCCCTCCCTGGCCCTAAGGCCATAGGGGACACCAGGCTGGAGGCTAAGTCCCTGGGGCATCAGATGGGGAAACAGGCCCCAGTCCCTCCAGCTGTCATGCTTGGGAATAGGCAGGGAGCTTGGGGCTCTCCAGCCCAGTGGGGCAGTGCACCCTGAAGAAGGCAGGGATTCCCAGGGGGAGAAGCCCAGGATGCTTGGGCAGGGACCAGCATGGAGCGAGGAGAGGTGAAGCCCATGGCTTTGGCGCCAGGCTGACCTGGGTTTAAGGCACTGCTCTGAGTGACCCTGAGCATTACTTAACCTCTCTTAGGTTAAGGATAATTCCTTCACCTCATGAGGTCAATATGAGGATCAAATGAGAGGATATTTGTAAGATTCCTACATGTTCAATAAATGTTAGCTAAAATCAAAATGAACAGAAAGGCGTCAGGTGGCAGGTGGCAGCAGGTTCCTGTGCACCTCCCATACCTGTCCCATGGGCCAGCATCCGTTCTCTGTGGCAGGACGGAGGTGCTGTCAATCTCCTCCAAGCTCCTACTTCACAAATGACTTCATTAGCCATCCTCAGTTTCTGTCAGTCTCCTTCAGACCCCCCTTTACAGATGTCAGTAAGCCCAGAGAGGCCAAGGAGCCCCATGGTTGGAGCACTCTGCGATGTCCAGTTTCTGACCCCTCCTTTGATCCGTCTCTTCCAGATTCATGTGCTCACAGCTGCCCAATCAGGTCCTGAAGAGCATCAGCATCATCGACAGCCCCGGCATCCTTTCTGGGGAGAAGCAGCGCATCAGCCGAGGTTAGTGCCTGTCCCCGCCCTCCCCACCAAGTGCTGGCTGAGGCCCTCTCTGCTGTGAGCAGAGGATTTCTGTCCCTGTCGTATTCTGTCTGTCCTCCAGCACAGCTGTTGGGCAGCTGAAGGGACCCCAGATGTCAACCAGGAGTTCATAGCATCAAAGACTCTGCCCCTCCAGGGGCTTGTATTCTGTGAGAAGATGTTTGTTGACTTACACATGAGTAAATGAAGATGAGGAGTGGGGTGAACACTGGGAGGTATCAGGGTGTGAAGGGACCTGCCTTGGCCTCGGGTTGTTGGGAGAGGCTCCTGGAGGAAACAGCACTGGCTGTAGGATCTGAAGGAGGAGTAGGAATTACCTAAGGGAAGCTCTGGGGTGGGGAGAGACTGAAGCGTTCAGAGGGGATCTGTGAAGACTAGAAAATGCTTGTGCAGAAGAGGACATCTGGGCTTCTCCAGCCTTCACAAGACAAGGCTGAGGCAACGGCTGCTTCTAGGCCTGCGCTTTGTAGTCAAAACGGATGGGTCTGCTGAGCACGGTGGCTCACGCCTGTAATCCCAGCACTTTGGGAGGCCGAGGCAGGTGGATCAGCTGAGGTCAGGAGTTCGAGACCAGCCTGGCCAACATGGTGAAACCCCATCTCTACTAAAAATACAAAAATTAGCTGGGCATGGTGGCGTGCACCTGTAGTCCAAGCTACTTGGGAGGCTGAGGCAGGAGAGCCGAACCCAGGAGGCTGAGGTTGCGGAGAGTGGAGATCACACCGCTGCACTCCAGCCTGGGCGAAAGAGCGAAACTCCGTCTAAAAACAAAAACAAAAACAAAAACAAAAAAACAAGTGGGCCTGCTGTCTTCCTCTGTCCTGGAGGAAGGGGGCATCAGGGGCAGACCAGAGGACAGAGTTGACTTATGGAGAAGAAATGCCTGATCGGGAGGGTCAGGATGGGTTCCTGCCATCACAGGTCCAGAGGCAGCTCAAGTCATTCCCTCACCCTGCCCCTTGAAACAAAGGCGGGTTGCTGGGAGGGAGGAGATGGAGCAGGTGCATCGCTGCCTTCACTTCTGGCTGAGAACTCTTCACAACCGCTTGAACAGCAAGTCGGTAGCACCACGCTGAGAAGTCCGGGTGTGCCAAGGTTGAGCAGAAGCCTGTGTGGGGTCGCGGTCACAGGTTACAACCAGGCAGTGAACACCCCACAGCTCACAAAGCACAAGTGCAGTTACATAGGCCAGCGAGGGTCCCGTGACAGGGGTCAAGAAAGGGATTCCGAGGCCAATAAGCCCTCCTTTCTCTTGGCATTTTGGGAATGCCATCTCTGCTGCTCCGTGGCCCGCAGAAAGCTCAGGGCTGCGCTGAGCCAAGGCCTCCCAGGGTTCGCCTGCTGTGCCTTCACTGTTTCAGTCAGGGACTTGCCAGGTATGGAGCGCCATTAAGGCCACCCTTCCCCTTCCCAGGCCTCCAAGAAACTTGCAATTATTTTTAAAAAAAAAAACAGGTTAATGCTATTCTTCTCTCATAAATATCTTGTTTGCTTTATTTTCTATTAGAAAAGTATGGATGTTTGTTGCAAAGGATTCAGTCAATGAATAAGAATGTAAAAAAAACTCACTGTCACAGATAACAATTATTCATGGTTTTCTCTCACTTCTTAGAGACTTTTTCCTATGCATATGCAAACACATTTCTAATAGAAATGGGATTACCATGCACATTTTCTACAACTTGATTTTTCCTCATAACAGTCTATCTTGGACATCATTCCATGCCAGTATATTCAGATTATTTCATTTGTTTTAATAGCTGCTTGGGTTCCATTAAAGGGACATAATATAGCTCATTTTGCGGATTTGTGGACATCATGATTGTTAATACTTTTTTATGCTTAGTGCTGTATACGGTCATCTTTTTATGTGTATCTCTATACCTCAGTGCCAATCAATTTTTTTTAAGAGTCTGTTTAGGAGCATTAATTTAGCCCCAGAAAGGTTGCTCTGCAGATAGTATGTTTTGTTTTAACAGGAAAATAAAGCAGGCTCATGTTCCACAGCTATTCTGAGCTGCCCATGTTTCACTACTTCTCCATTTCTGACTGAATATGCTGGAGAAATATGTGGTCTTGGTAACTCTTTCTTTTTACCTCTAAATTTTAAGGCCTCCAGGTTTTGACTGCCACCATATGCATTTGTCCTCACTGGTAGGCCTTTAGCCAACTCTGTTGCCCCGTGTGTTGCAGCGTCTCTCCTTTGCTTAGTAATCGTGTCTTTCAAACTGTAGCTCCCTTACAGTGGAGTTGACACACGGATTAATGCTTCCAAAATGCTTTGAAGATCAGTTCTTTGTATCACTTTATAATATGATCTGACTCATATCCTGGTCTGACTTACTGTGGCATGTACTTACTCACATCCTATACACAGAAATAGCATATAGGTTCTAGCCAGTCGGCGGTCCCTGCCACACTGATGGACACAGCAACAGGTGGGGAAGGACCCAGAGCCACAAGCGATGACAGCACAACGGGCCACAGCCGTGGTTCCCAAGCCCGGTGCCACACAGTGTTAGGGGCACAGCTGGTGGTGAAAGTCACTCAGCTGACATTTTCAACACATTTACCCCAAAGAATACATAGTGTTGTAAAGCAGGTTCAGCTCAAACGATCGCAAACAGTGCCACATTCTCACATAGGCTCACACCTACACCCAGCTTCATAAGACCAGCTTCGTAAGACCACAGCCCCACCTTTGCCAGGAATTAACGTCAACATGGGATAATAGACTGGGTACAAATTGTGACCCCACAAGATGTTTAAAGCATCCCCCACTGACTTCACTGGCAGGTCTTTGCCTCCTTTACGGGCCTCATGCCTGGGAAGGAGGAAAGGTGGCCACTGGTGTGCTGCCCTCCAGTGCTCTGCCTTTCGCCTTTGTGCAGTTGATGATTAACCCTCAAAAGCTGAGTAACTGGCTGGGCACGGTGGCTCACGCCTGTAATCCCAGCACTTTGGGAGGCCGAGGCAGGAGGATCACTTGAGTTTAGGAGTTCGAGACCAGCTTGGCCACCATAGTGAGACCTCATGTCTATTTATTTAAAAAAAAAAAAATACATAGCGTTCCAGGGGAGTAAATGTCATCTAAATCTCCTGTTTAGGAACTGTATAAATGAAACCCTTGAGGGCAATTGATTTTGGAGCAATTTTTACTCTGCTACTCCATGTGGAAGCTCCTTACCCCTCAAATGTTCCTTAGTTCAAATTACGGTTAGCAGAAAGTCTTCTTTTTTTTTTTGAGACGGAGTCTTGCTCTGTCACCCAACCTGGAGTGCAATGGCATGATATCGGCTCACTGCAGCCTCCGCCTCCCAGGTTCAAGCGACTCTGCTGCCTCAGCCTCCCGAGTAGCTGGGAAAACAGGTGCCCACCACTACACTCAGCTAATTTTTGTATTTTTAGAAGTGACGGGGTTTCACGATGTTGTCCAGGCTGGTCTCAAACTCCTGACCTCAAGTGATCCGCCCGCCTCGGCCTCCCAAAGTGCTGGGATTACAGGCGTGAGCCACCGCACCTGGCCATTAGCAGAAAATCTTTAAGGACAACAGACTAGGTTAGTTTAGTTACTAACCTGTAGTTTTCCTGGCTGACATGAAGTGTTGAATTCTCATCAAGCAAGGATAAAAATGTTCTCATATATTTATAATAATAATATTCTGATCAAGTAATAACTTCCCAAAAGTCCTACAAACTTTTCTTGATTTCTTTTCTTGTATTTTAGTAGCCAATGAAAGAATGTTTGGATTTCTGCGGTTTTCTAAATTGCTTTCTTGAAGTGTGTAGGTAAATCTGAGTTGGTTCACTCTTCAGAACATCCTTTGCCCTTGACCATAGTAGCCAGGTGTTTGACTCTGCGATGAGAAGAAAGAGCACCTTTATCCACGCACATAGCATTTTCCTTCCCACTCGACCTCTTATCATGCTGGCCCCTGAAATACTGTTTCCTAGAATACTATTGAGTCCATGCTGAACCTAAACATAATCTAGGATTTATTTCTAGAGTTAGCATGAACACAACTGTGTTCCCAGCTACTTAGGACAAGCCTCTGGATTCTGACTCCAATCGTAACATCCTTTGAAAAATTATAATGTAGCAACTGGTATGCTTGTCCATCTATTTAGCACATGGCATTTTCAAGGTGCTGTTTATTCCTATGGTTTCTTGAGAATATGAGGTTTTGTGTAGCCTTCAATAGACTTGATTTTGGTAATAAAAATAGTGCAGCTTTTCCCTTTTAAAAATTTAAATAACTCTAGAAGGAAAAAACTCTACATTTTGTAACAGATCGACTTATTCTCTCAGGAACAACAGCTGTCAAATGAAAATTCGAGAGTGTCTTTTCCTGATGTTTAAGCCCTTGCCTCTTAATCCCAGCCTATTCATTGTAAACCAATGAATAGAACTGAGAAGACAATGAAAAATAAAAGGACAGAAAACGCCCTGCTAGTAAAAGTTGGAGACAGTAATAGTACATGAAACCGGGAGGATCTAACTGCACTTCAGATGACATGACAGGCAATAACAGAAGCTCAGAATCACTGATTACCATTTTAACATTTATATACAGACATCTTTAAGTCTCCCTAGGCCTCAAGCATCAAAAAGGCGCCTGAGTAGTGATACAAACAGGAACAGGCTGTTTCAAGGGTCTGCTGACACAGCTGAGGGGCTCAAACGCACTACAGGTTGAACATCTTTAAACTGAAAACTGAAAATCCAAAATGCTCCAAAATCCAAAACTTTTTGACGTGATGCCACCAGTGGAAAATTCTACATCTGACCTCCTGTGACGGGGCACAATCCAAACTTTGTTTCATGCACAAAATTATTTTAAATGTTCTATAAAATTACCTTTAGGCCATCTGTAGATGGTGTCTATGAAGCATGAGTGAATTTTGTGTTTAGGCTTGGGTCCCATTCCCAAGCTCTCTCATTATATACATGCAGGTATTCC